TTTCCACTTCTGTAAATCGAGTAATATGTTAATAAAAATATAATGTAATATATGTTTTGAATTCGTCTCGATGTCCTCTAAAGCTATAAATAAAAAAAAATGTATGTTCCTATTTAAGAAACCCAAGATGACCTTGACTTTGCCAAGAGGACAAACTGTTTTCAAAATTTGCTTTACTAATATCTATTGTGCACTTCATACCCTGCAAATTTTATTCTAAACTTTTTTTCGTAAGGTGGCTGCAAGTGAGCGAAAAATCGTGAGTAGCGTTACAGGTAACACCCTGTATTTATATTCCTTATAGTCTTATAATAGCATACTTTAATGTATTACACTGACAAACTCCTCTTTTTGAAGAGATAGGAATCAATGTCTCAGAACGTAAATAAAATTCCATTCGTCTTTCTTATTATCAGATACAAATATCATTATGTAATCATAAATTATTAAATAATTTAAGCATATTGTATAATATAGTTGTACGAATTATACTAATGATTGTTCATTGTGATAGCGTCAGAAGTGTGAGAAATAACGACTTCCGATAAGATCACGTGGACACTAGAAATGTTACGTTAACAGACGGAGCACAGAGTAACAAAATGGCTCGCAAAAGCAATGTTCAATAGTGCTCATACAGGAAAGCATACTTGACACACCTGTTAAAATGAACTTCTATTTACTTATATTCTGTGTACTACTATGGAACAATGTACAAGTAAGGTTACTAAAATACTCTTAGTTTCATCCGCGGATTGTATGTGAATTTTACACAAATTTTTATTCAAACTTAGTATTCAATTGCGGGTGAGAAAATTATTGAACAGTGTATTATTGATTGTTAAATAATATTTTTAATTTAATTTTGGACTTAGATTTTAATTTTAGAAATTTGAATGTTATATTCTGATATATAACATTGTCTACGTTTAAATTTTTCATATGCTTCATTTTAGATATATTTAGGTGCAATTGATCTGCTTACGTCGTTCATTCTATTTCTAGTTAGCTATGTGAAAATACAAATTAAAAATATAAAGAACGGAAATTTAAATTGTTACATTTAGCTGTTATTTAATTATTATACGCCGTACAGATTTATTTTGTTATACGAAGCATATTCACTTGAATAGAGTTAAACATATTACAAGCGAATTAAGGTAGATGTGTCATTTGTGGCTATTTTCATACGATTCACTGTAGAATTGCAGAAGAAAGAGATACACTAAAGTAAAAAACACATTAGTGTATTGGAAAATGTGCGGAAAATCAAAATATCACAATTTGCTTAATGTCTTATCGTAATTATACATCATTATTGCATAGTAAACAAAATTATCTGTACCCTCAAGAGTGCCATTTCTGCCCAACGAATTTCTATTTATGACCATTTGGAAAATTAGACAAAACGATTCATAAGAAAAAAAAATATATATATACTGATCGAATTGAGTAACCTCCTCCTTTCTCGAAGTCGGTTAAAAATTAATTACAAATGGTTTATATATATATGTATATATGAAAATATTATTAACTATTTACACCATTTTTTCTTTTTTCTCGTTGGAAAAGGTTTACTTTCCTTCCTTTTTACTTATTACGTTATTTTAATTTTATAGATTTTATAAATTTTTCCCTCTTGTTTTCACTGTTATTTCTTTTTCGCTTCATTTCGGTAGTGTTCGCCATATAAATTGTATTTGCAGAATTTATAACATTAAGAATTTTAAAACTTTATAAATTCTGAATTTAAAAAATTTTGAAGTCAGAAGAATTAGGAATTTGAGTGTATGTGAACTTGAGAATTTGAAATCTTAAGAATTGACAATTTAAAAATATAAAAACTCTGAAGTAGGGAATTTTCAAGTTTGAATTATTTTCAGATTTAGAAAGCTGAAAATTTTGAAATTCAAAAATATGAAAATATTTTAGTAGAAATGTAGAAATTTAGAAATTTAGAAATTTAAAAAGTAAAATAATTAAAAATTGTAACAATTTCAAAGTTGAGGATTGCATATTCAGAAATTCAGGAATTTTCTGACTTCAGATTTTAAAATTTAGAAATTTAAGAATTCAGAGATTCAAATGTTTAAACATTTGGAATTTTGGATTTCCTCGAATTTACAAACTTAAAAATTACTAAGTTTGGGAATTAACAAATATTGGAAACTGAAAATTTAAGAATAATTAACAAAGAAAATATGCTAATCTAATAATAACAAAATTTGAAGAATACGAAATTAAAAAATAAAACATTTGAAATTAAAAAAAATTGAAATTTATAAATTTAAAGGTTTGAAAATTTGGAAGTTTTTTAAATATGTAGCTTTACGACAATTTTAGATATAAGAAAGCTATTTTTCACAAAAAATTAAATTATTCTTTAAGAAACTTTTCAATTATATTGGTAATAGTGTCACATAATAATGTTAGTGTTAATTATGATATGATGTATTGACAGTTGAAGTACGTATCAAATACAAATAGTTTTGTCATGTACTATTTAAAAACATTACATGGACAAAAGTTCTACTGCTACATTTTCAACGTATTATTTTTAATTAATACCCAATTTAAGTATATTTTACATTATATAAGTGTGGATATATTTATATATATGTAAAACGAGTATGAAGCTTGCTCCATACTCGATTGCAATAAATAACTATATTCGGACTAGTTATGTGTTAAAAAATTCATAAACGGTTACTTAATTAAACAGTAAAATGGGCACTTACTCAATTAAACAATAAGATAAAAAGAAAACATTGTACAGTAGGAAATGGTACCTATACAGGGTGTTCAGCGATTTACTAGCCAGCGTTTTTCTCGTAAATGACTGGTACTAGAAAAAAATGAAAGAGGAAAAAGTGATAGTGTTTTTTATAATCAACATAATGAAGTATGTATTTTTTTCGTGTTTATACTATTTCTTAAGATATGAAGGTAACCTTCAGTTTTTTAAATGGAATGGTATATATTTTTTTATATCATATGAAAGAGCGCATCGAAACGAATTCAACGATGTATAATATCATGACCTTGAAATCCATTTTGAGTCAAAAGCAAACGAAATATTTCAAATATTTCGTATTACTGTACTTACCGGTATTTCTTACTAATATGTTTACATTTCGTGTTCAATGTGGTTTCCATTAGCTAGAAAGCACTTTTGGTGGTTTTATGTTATGATTAGGTCATAATAATAGTGTTATGATAATGGAAACCACATTGAACACGAAATGTAAACATATTAGTAAGAAATACCGGTAAGTACAGTAATACGAAATATTTGAAATATTTCGTTTGCTTTTGACTCAAAATGGATTTCAAGGTCATGATATTATACATCGTTGAATTCGTTTCGATGCGCTCTTTCATATGATATAAAAAAATATATACCATTCCATTTAAAAAACTGAAGGTTACCTTCATATCTTAAGAAATAGTATAAACACGAAAAAAATACATACTTCATTATGTTGATTATAAAAAACACTATCACTTTTTCCTCTTTCATTTTTTTCTAGTACCAGTCATTTACGAGAAAAA